CATTGAATAAAGGCAATGAAGGAGGCAAAGAATGGATATGCATATGCTAAAAATGAAACTGAGTAAAAATCTCTAATTGGGAAGAAATTAAGGGGTTAGAGATTCCCACACATAGAACAGACAGAGTTCCTTCCCTTTCTCATCCTCAAGATCCACTGGATACCTATTAACCCAGCAAAACATATCTTTGGGTTTAAGGCAAATCCACTACACCCATGAGATAAACTCCAATACTAGGTTGTACCCTTTTGGGTAACCACTTTATTTTGTCACTTCAGGTAAAAGCTAACTTTCTACAAACAATTAACTTTTCCAATACTTTTCCAATAAGAACATTCAGTTAGATATTTCTTGGGGATCAATGTGAGATTCACAGATAAGAAGTTTTTGTTTGGTTGCAAAGTTTGTTTAGAGCCAGTCATTATCACTCTATATTAGAATGTTGATGAGATGCACCATCTATGTTTGTGCCTCCTTGTTGTATGTAATGTTTTCTCAAATATGTACGTTGTATTTCTTTTACAGTAAGCATCGATAATCATAAAATTTTGGAAATGATGGGATATTTAAAAGAGCATCTCATCAGTTCCTTCTAATTAATAAAACTGAGGAGTACTTGTATGAAAGGGCCTGGCCAAGGTCACATTGCTCGTTAAATGAGAGTGCCAATGCATCCCAGTCCAGTGTGACTTCCTAAGAGCATTAAGTTTCAATAAGACATTACAAACATCCTGTCAAAGGCTTCCTGTTACATAGGATACTAAAACTGAAGATGAAAAGACAGTTAATTAAAAATAATTATTTTTTTTTTAAAAAAAAACCCCAAACAAAAACTGAAGATGCCTAGGAATCATCAACTTCTTATACTGGGGCTATTATATTTCTAAGAAAAATTTTGCTGCAAAGGTGGGCAGGAGCATTGCATGAAGTCCTATAATAAAGAAACTTTAAAAATCAAAAACAATATTGCACAATGAGCCATATAAAATAAACTGCATTTTTCATTGCGTTTATACTTTTAACCAGCCAAGGGAAAAAGGTCTCATATGCAGAGTATAAAACCAATGAGTAAATGCATATGGTGCTCTGTGGTATGTGAGCTTTTGGAGTTAGGACAGAACTATATTCAGTAAATACATTTTGAATCCATTATCATTACCATTCCATATCAAATAAAGCAAACCCTTTGTTCCCAAACTTAAAATTCAGAAGCTTTACACTATGGCATAGTAACTTTTAGCTCCCGGGGGGCTTTTTAGAGCACAGATACAAACATCAAATCTGAAATGTTTTTTAACTTAGGCCTCTGGTTTATATATGTTTGAATTAAATTTCACTATATTTTTAAAGCAAAATGTTCCCTTTAATATTTATTGAATATATCTAACCTTACAAAAATTATAATATACTATGACTTTCAAAAGGCACTATACAAAAATCTGATGAATATCACTTACACAAATTACTTAAATGCCAGTTCTTTTAGAAGAAGGTTTTTAGAAAGTCATCTGTGATGTAAATTGAAATTAGAAGAAAATTATGAAACACAGTTTACAGTCAATTTTACTTTATCTATCATCTTTAAATGTCAAAAAATACAGAAAAGATCAAGTGACTGTGCTAATCTCCTAAAAGTTCTTTATAAAATAAAATTACATGGATATTTTATAATATATCATCAAAATGTTAAATCACTGCTTTAGCAAAGTACCAATTAACACAAAATGATTTCTCTTTTAAAGAAAACAACTCAGGAAATAAACACATTCAAGGTTGAAGATAACTTCTAAGGTCCAATAAAGCATCACAAATTATAATCATTTGAAATTACACTATACTTTGAAATAGAAACTTTCAGGACACATCGTGTTATTACTGGCTCATCCATTTTCACGTATCATTTGGGAATTACAAATCCTGAGCAACGATTCGAATCACATAATTAAATGGTGAACTTTAAATCAATATCGTGGGAAATGTCTAAGTACTTCATTGCAGTAATCCACGCTATGTCATTGGTGCAGAATAAATTAGAATTACATGATTATTTACTGTCCACAAAGCATGATTTCTGAACAATCAATTTTTAATTATAAGTTTAAGGCATTTGATGTGAATTTAATATATTATCTATCCTTTAAAAAAAAAAAAAAACAGAATGCCTCTTATTTTTAAGAGACACAGTCTCACTCTGTTGCCCAGGCTGGAGTGCAGAGGGGCGATTATAGCTCCCTGTAATCTCCAACTCCTGGCTCAACAGATTTTCCTCTCTCAGCCACCTGAGTAGCTGAGACTACAAGTATGTACAACCACACCTGGCTAATTTTTTAAACCTTTTCAGTAGAGACTGGTCTTGCCATGTTGTCCAGGCTGGGCTTGAACTCCTGGCCTCAAGCCATCTTACAGCCTCGGCCTCCCAAAGCACTGGGATTACAAGTATGAGCTACTCTGCCTGCCCCTGATTTTATTAACATCACCCTAATTTCTTTATTTACTTGCCATGGAAATCCTAAGGAAGATACTAAGGTATTTGTTTTCCTTACAAGATCCTCAGAAACTAAAAATCTAGTACCTAATATGAGATATATTATCAAAATAGGTAATTCAAAAGCTGCCAGAACGTCTGCTTAAAGAGGAAACAAAAATTTCACCATTCTCTTACCTTAACCTCATCACACTGGAAAAGATGAAGATCTGGCTTGTTCTGGGTTGGCTCTTTGCACACCAGGGCAAGCACTGAATCATAGCTGCATGAATGCATCACAGCTTGGCAGTGCTGGATTGTGTTTAAAGGAAAATTCTCCAGTTCATTCTATAAATAAAGTAAACATTTTATTTTTCAAACTTCCACCCATTTTCAAACAATCTGAAATGACAGTAAACATTAATATTAGTGGCATTTTCTTGAAAATAAAATAGTATAAATTTTACACACTTGCCTTTGATTCTAAATCAATTAGGCTCACAGCTCTGTCATCCACTTGAAGAATCATATCTTGAGTCCACACTTTGCCCTTGGCATCAAGCAATTTCAACTTCCTTATTCCATCATCAACAGTGATCATAGCATCTTTCCGATCCAGGATAAATGTAGTCAAGTGCTTACGATTGGCAAAAAGGAAAAGGATTTATAACAGATACAAATACATACAACCTCTTACATTTCCAATACATTTTCCAAAAGAAAATCAAATTAACCTGAGGTCAGCTAGCAGAGAACGACAAACATAAAGTGCTCTTAAAACTTCATGACTATTTTAACGAGAGAACAAAGCCAAGCAGGGATTTTTGGGTTTTTTTTGAATAGAAGAAATGGTGTTTTGACTCATAAGATACCTAAATCTGTTTCATACTGAGCCATGTTGAACTACATAAACATGATATTAAAACAACTTCTTAACAGCTTAAATAATATTCTCTTTAAGTATACTTTTCCCTATTTTGTACTCTATTATGGTTATTTAAATGCTGAACCTAGCAGCATTTAAACAGCAGGCTATCTGTATGGGAGCTTTAAAACTATGGACACTGATTGTAGCAACAGCACAATTCTAGCCTACAGGAGCTGTCAAACTATTCAATCCACTAAAACCACTTACTGAAACAAAACTGTTTAAATTTGATTAAGCATGCTTGAGATAGGTAGAAAACTGGAAATAAGAGCAATTTAAAAATTACTTCTCTGCTTAAATATTTTCTATTATAAGCAGAGGTCATCTAGATAAATTCCAACCAAGAGCAAATATCTTAAAAGAGAGCCAAAACTTAAAAATAACCCTTATTTAACTAGAACTAGTAATAACTTTAGTTAAACTAGAAACTAAACTGCTCACTGAAACTGTCAAAGGCTTAATTTCGAGATGATTCTACAGCACAAAGTAGAAGCCATTATCCTTTTTTAAATGAAATAAGACTGGCAATGATAAATGAGTAGTAGTTATGATTTTAAATCATTCTTTATGAAAATAGACCACAGACTAACAAGATATTTTACATGTAACATCTGTTTTAAAAAAACCTAAACAAAAAGGTCAGTGCAACTTAAAATACATCATAAGAATGAAATAAAACCGAATTCTGATTTAACTTCCAACATTTATGTTCCTCAAGTGTCACTCTAAATACTAGCAAATGCCAAAGCATCTTACTTCAACACGGTATTGAGATATATCTGACACACTGCTGACACTGTCCCGTGCATAATTCTTCCTTTGTTCTGAAAGAGAAATTGAAAAAGCCATGATTTGTCGCCTAATAAGCTGAAGTTCATATATTGGTATCATGTGGCTATCTCTAAAACTAGTCTATCTCACGTATAAATACAGTAGCTGACAAGTTGCCATTGTGTGGTATATCTGAAAACACTCATTATTCGCAGTAAATCTAAAAACCACAAGAACGTCTAAATAATAGGCAAGAACAATTTGATCCACTATATGTTTTTAGAATTCCAAAGGTTAACAAGATTATAAATACTATAAGAAAAAAAGTTATTTCCTCTAAAGGTTTTTTTTTATCAGTCAGGGACCTACTGTTTTGACAAATCAATTACAACTGGCTTACAAATTTCATCTGTTACTGCACTGATAGCAAAATATAATTGCAAATATTGTCATAGATACTGTATTATATGAGTTAGACTACATTATTAAAATCATAGACACTACAAGGAACAACTTCTTTTGCAGTATCCAAACTGGGATAGTGTTAGAGGAGATTTAAAGCATGATTCAATCACATGGCTTGCCATTAAATATTAACAGTTTTCACACATCTACAGAACACACAAATGTGATACTTAGAATCATAAATATAAGTTGATAGGAAAAATGAGAAAGTCAGGTAGAAAGTTATTGCACCAAACTACTTAAAAAGCAAAAAGAAACCTTTAATTTTCTTTTCTGAAATGCTGCAAAACCAAAAACTAACATTAAAATATAAAAAGTATGTTGGTAATATTTGGCATTTGTTACTGTCTTTTTAAAATTTGTATTATTTTTTAAAATATGGAACACTTCATGAATTTGCATGCCATCCCTGCACAGAGGCCACGCTAATCTCTGTATCATTCCAATTTTAGTATATGTGCTGCCAAAGTGAGCACTATTTGTTGCTTTCTAATCAAGCAACTTGCTTATTTGTAAATTCAGAGTTGCCCTGTTTCTTCTAAACAGAATGCTATGATGAAAAACAACTTTGAGAGGGAACTGTCAGATTTGTTCTCCCAGCTTCAGCTGTGTCACTAAGTAGGAAACTAAATTTGGGCAAGACACTTAATACCCTGGGCCTCAGCACCCTTACTGTAAAATAAAAGGGTTAAACAAGGTCAAACCTACAGGCCTTTAAGGATTTAACATTCTGACATATAGATATGCCTTAGCTTCCCCAACAACCTGTTTTCTTTGTAAATGTAAACCTATTTATTTTAGTTAATATAGTTATTCTATAACAGATTAGTTGTTTGGAAAGTTCTGCTGAACATAAAAGCTGAGCAAGTACAAAAATATAAAGTGCATAATGTACATATGCAGACTCAGAACGTTAACACAGAATTTTAAGAAAACTTAATAAATTTTCGTTTTACAACACATATGAAAGTAACTTTTCATTTATATTTACTTGTACAATTTAGATTAAAATCTCCATATCCTTGTATCAATATTACTCTGATACTCCAATACATTCCATTTTTGCTTTTGCAGCATTAAAATTACTTAATAAAAACAGAAGCACTACAAAATTCACTCTCTGCTACCTTTCTTTTTTTGTTTGGATGATGACCTGAGGAAGTATGATCCATCTGGTCCTACCAAAATAATGGCATCAAAATGAAAGATCTGGTTTCACCTAAAATTTTCTCTCCCAATATAACAAAACATAAACCTTCACTTACATGACTGTATTCTATATATTTTTAAAAAGTGAACGACCATGATTTTTCTGATTAGCTGTTGCGGATTAATCAGTGTGAGATATTAACGCATGGATAATTATCCTTGCGACAGCCGTTACGACTCTTGTAATACAATATATAATTCAGGAATATATTTCACAAAACCACATCTAGAAACAATCACTATTTCAGAGTCCCTGGCTCACCATATTCTAACACAACTGTCCATGACAGATTCACAGCAGGAGCATTCTGCTTGCTTTGATCTGACCTTAGGACAGTAAAAGAAATGGCAGTGGTTGCCGTGACACCCAGTCATGATATGGGAACTCCTGGATGTTCAAATGCTTGTCTTTTGGGTAATTTATTGGCAAATACAACAGCTGAAGATCTGAAACACTGTGTTTCTATTTAGATATTCTCATTATGAAGTATTAAGAATTTATCCCTGACCTCCCGATTTCCTAGCATATAGTTTCCCAATCCCACAGAAATATAATTTACAGAAATGAAAAGAAAAACTATCTGATAGCATTTTTAAACAGTGTGACATTAACTGATCACTCTGATTGCCTAGAAGATATGATGTCATTTCTAATATTCCAAATTAAGAACCTGCTTTAGGAATTCCTAAGCTGCTTTCTCTCCTATGTTGTACACTAAATAAGTTGTATAAGAAACTACCTTTTAAAGATCCTAAAAATGTATAAATGCCATAAAATGGATTTATAAATAAATTAGTAGTTCCAGTGATTTTTAAGTCAATCCATAAATAAAGGTTAATATTAACATTTTAATAGGCAATTTTGAAAGACATTTCCTAAAAGGCAATTATAATACATTTCTTTTTTATGAGAATCATATATATTCACAAGAACTGGTATAAATAGTAATTAGGCTCCTAAGCTAGAAATCTCACCAAAGCCTTAAAACAGTATAAAAAGCCTAACCAAAATCTCTCGACACTACTCAAGATGAATCCTCTAATGAAATTCACCACTGTTGCTAACAGTGGTTCTCATCCTTGGCTGCATGTTAGAATGAACTTGATAAAACAGTGTGCAACTCATCTACTATATACTATCTCTTTAAGCAGAACATTTTCCTTTCCAAATTAAGAATGTAAATATGGTCAAATAGTATATTAAATAATAAATACATGAATACATGAATAAATACGGCAGTCGGGTTTTAGCTTTCTAGTAGTACAAGCTGCTCAACTCCCAAAATAAGACTAAGTCTATTTCCCCTCCTATTCTGGCCCCTGCCTCTCTTTCTCTCTCAGAATCAATTAGAGGTAGGATGAAACTTACTTGCCTATAGAACCACTGGTTGTGTTTCACTATTTTGCCTATTAGCTTTTATGTTATGGTCCAGAATGTACAACTCCAAACAGACAGAATTGCATGAATTCAGTAACCAGTGATGAAAAATCTTTACATACAATTTTATTATACACTATTGCAAAAACTGATATTCAACTCCCGGATCAGAAATACTAAATTTAGGTTTCATTTAATTTGTTAATTAGTTGAACTACAAGTATAAAAAGCATCCAGGTCTTGGTATTTATACTTAATTCCCCTTTACCTGCATTGCTGTTTACGCATAATATAACATTTGAAACGGCTAATATTCAGAGATACAGCTAATATTTAGAATTTTTGTTCTCTTTCTCTGAAAACAAAAATGTTCCTTAGAGAGTAAGGATTTGGCCACTAGCAAGAAAAAAGTAACATAAAAGCAGCTGCTGAGTACTCCTCTCTCTAAATAAAACAATGGGCTAGAACTCATATTACTTTACACTTAACGAAAACTTTCAACCACAGTAAAGGAGAATTCCTTTCCCAGTATCTTAGTGTCTAAGTGTATTTATTCCGTAGAGGAGAGGTGCTTAATGGGAATCAGTGGTGAGCACTGAGTGATAATTACAAGCTCTCAATATCAGGCAACTACAATCACAGTTTGACAAATGAGTATCTGAACCAAGATACCATTATGAAGAATAAACAAAATCATTTCTTTAAAACTACATTATTTAAGAAGTAATTTTATTGACCTGTTCAACAAATTATTAAAATGGCTTATTCCATGAGGTAAAAAAGGAGTTTTAAAATTTTCAGCTAAGTTGGGAAAACTGCCAAACTGTCTTTTTGAGTCAATTGCTCTGCCACATTCTATCAAGCTGAATTTTTGACTCAAACATTTAGCTCAATTTCCTAATACTATTTAATGAATTAGAAGCCATTTACATCTTAAGAATTTTAAAAAAAAATTTTGTTCTGTTAAAAAAAAAAGATTTCAATGTTTTCTCTAAGTAAAATACATACCGTAAATAATAAGGATGGGCAAAAGAGAAACAGATTTTCACTCTTAAGTGCTACTTGAATGTGTAAGAAGTTGCTTGGGCTTTAATTATAACAATTAAACAGAGAGGCTAGCTCCAAACCAAGATCAGGAGATAGAGAGACACATGAAGAGAAAGAAAGCTAGGTATGAAAAGGATAAAATATGGAATGGATATGTGTTAAGAAAAATTCAGGAACACTGCTACAAGACAGTTGAATCAAGTACTGTGTAGAACTAAAGTTTATAGTAAACCCAACTATACAGAAATTCACCATGCAGTTTATAAGTTACTCATACTCAATTCTTACCAATACCTCCTTGAAAAGAAAAAACAAAGATGGAAAAACACAAATATGTTTTCCTACTTGTTAACATCACAAAGCAGTTTAAACTTAAGGTTAAAATAAGACTTAGGGCCAGGCGTGGTGGCTCACACCTGTAATCCCAGTACTTGGGAGGCCCAGGTAGGCAGATCACTTGAGGTCAGGAGTTCAAGACCAGCCTGGCCAACATGGCGAAAGGCTGTCTCTACTAAAAATACCAAAATTAGCCAGGTGTGGTGGCACATGCCTATAATTTCAGCTACTCAGGAGGCTGAGGCAGGAGAATTACTTGAACTAGGATGTGGAGATTGCAGTCAGCTGAAATTGTGCCACGGCACTCCAGCCTGGGTGACAGAGCGAGACCCTATCTCAAAAAATAAAAATAAAAATAAAATGAGACTTAAAAGAGTACCTTTCTATCATACTGACCCAATATTGTGTGTTCTCCCAATAATAAAATCTCAAAGTTAACTGTAGGTGTTGGTAATGACAACAAAATATCGCTAATTGGTAATTCAATGAAATGAGTTTTCTAGAGACAAAATGACTTTAAGCAGTTGGTAATTCATGAAATGATCACATTCCAAATTAAGCAATATCTAATTTAAAGAGAAGTTACCATTCTAGAAAGTCCAGCTATTTAGAACATAGCATAATACCCACACTTAAATAAATGAAGTCCTCTGAGTGTTTGTTAGAGATGTCACCATGTCTATACATTAACACGTGCATATTTTAGCATACAGACTGTAGTGGAAAAGACTCTCCCAGCTGGGCGCGGTGGCTCACGCCTGTAATCCCAGCACTTCGGGAGACGGAGGCAGGCGGATCACGAGGTCAGGAGATTGAGACCATCCTGGCTAACACGGTGAAACCCAGTCTCTACTAAAAATACAAAAAAATTAGCCAGGCATGGTGGAGGGCACCTGTAGTCCCAGCTACTCGGGAGGCTGAGGCAGGAGAATGGCGTGAACCCAGAAAGCAGAGATTGCAGTGAGCCAAGATCGCGTCACTGCACTCCAGCCTGGGCGACAGAGCAAGACTCCGTCTCAAAAAAAAAAAAAAAAAAAAAAAAAGACTCTCAAGTCCCCACTTAGAACCTATTTACTAAGAACATTTTTTATGTAGTTTCCCAGCCCATAGATATCAGAAGCCATGCTAGAAGCTCACAGGTTATAACAACATGGAAAAGGGACAGGCTTGAGACCCAGCCACATGGAAAAAGCAGCCCTAAATATTCAAAAGGGAGGTGAATCCGAATGATTTGGTGTGAAGGTAAGGAATGCAGCCCCTGAGTTTCACAGTGCATAAGCTAATGTGCACACACATGATCCTTTGTCACTAAGAAGATCATGTACCAGGAAGATCTGGCACCAACCGCTGTCAGACCCAAGGGAAGGGAATATTTAATATACTTTCCAGGTATTTCCCTTAAGAACAATTTTAAATTTTAGTGCTTAAAGGCTTTGACAGACAGCCTAGCTGGAAAAAAATTATAAAATTTCCAGTATGCTGATAACAGTAGCTAAATAAAATGTT